GATAGAGGGGTACTAGTAAATGGTGGTGATTGTGTGGAAGGTCTGGCTCTGTTATGCATGAATTCCTGTATGATTCAAAAGAAACTGATTGTGTATATCCTTTTCCTTTTTTGATGGTTTTAGGATGCTGTAGTATTCCGGAACACAAAGCAAGTTACTGCCTTTGAGTGTGCAGGAGATACCTTCAGAAGTGCAGGTAGGACTTAGAATGATCAGAATTAACATGGTTCTCTTCCTCCAAAGTTATAAATACTCCTCACTCATGATAGCTGATGGACTGTGATCATATACACAAGTTGAAAAATATACAGCTAAGTCAAGTAAATTAGATTTTTTTTCTATTATTAATTTCCCCTAAAAATTTCTGCCTTGAGAAACAGGTTATTCCATCATTCCCATCCAAAATCTTGAGCTCTTTTAAGACCCATCAAGTGTTTCCTGTTTCTTAGCATAATCAAAAGCATTGCAAAAAGTTGTCAACAATCACTGTTCTTTTATCTCCTGTTATGTAGGATTAAAGTAGTCTAAAGGATTAACGGTTAATAAAGGAATATTCTTAAAATAGAGAAGGAGGCGTAAGTAGGGAGAAGGAAAATTAGAACTAGACCTCACTTCTCTTCTATTCCTTCACACACACTCCCCACCTTTGCATTCAGCCTTAGCAGCCACCTGTACCCAACATATTTTCAACAGAAAGAATTCAAGACTCAATCCTCATTCCGCTGTCGCCTCCACAATCATTTGCAATTCCTCTGATGTCACAACACTACTACACAGATGCGAAGCTGCCAAACCTCTGGCACAGCTGTGACCAACAGTTTCTGCTTGCACTACTTATGTTGACTCCATCCAAGTGTGACATAGTAATTCATGTGTTTTTTTCACACCATTTCTCTTTGCCAAGGATACAGGAATTACCTGAATACTTCTGACCAAAAAAAAAAAAATAAAAGATCAGTTTTTTTAGCAAGTAGGAAAAAAAAAAAAAATGGTGGGAGGTAAACTACATTAAAATACACTGTGTCTCTTCCAGATCTTAGTGATAGGCTTTATCCAGAGAGACAAAACACTGGCTTCGCACCTTCTTACCACTAAATCAGTGATTTGCTCTAGAACAAATTATTTGCTGAGCAGCAGAACTGACAAAGTCCTGTTTCCAGCAGCTTTCCATTTTTTCCCTTATGAGGCATCAGCTCTAACAAAGTCATTCATGGCATCTCTTCTTGGTGGATTCCTGGACATGTAATGCCAACATTAGCTGACTCAGGCGGCACTCCCACAGTCCAGTCAGTAATTCACTTCTTGGCTCTGTCCAGCTTACTGTTTGCCCTGTGCCCGTTGTATTTTTGATATCATCATACCTGAGTCTTTGAGCAGACCATATATGAAAATGTCTTGTTTTCTCAGACAACCAGGCTAATGAGAAAACTACTGTAACTGCATAGAGTCACAGTACAATCAAGTACAATTGCACACAGTACAATCAAGTCAGAACTACCTGGCCAGTAGGAGCCTTAAGCCATTGTCTAGTCCATCATCCCTTTCTTGGCTGGAAGAAAAATAATCTAAAAATCCCCCAAACTGCTTCTAGTCAAGTGACCATTTTTACAGCTTTCATAATTGCCTGGTTCAATGTTACACAAAATTTTGCCCAGTAAGTAAACAACATAACCCTACTTGTGCAGGCTTAGCTGGAAATTAAAGTTTCCTGCCCTCCAATATTCAACAGAGAAGCCGTGTTGTAAAAGAATACTATCCCAATTAGACAAATGAACAGGGCACCCTAACATCTTCCCTTCTGCACTTGTAAAAGATGTCTAACAGCTCTGAGTCCCGGAAGTTCCAGGACAGGCTAAGAGCAGGCAGCAGTAGTGTAGTCATACACACTGAATTTCATCCCTTCCTCTAAGGGCTTGACCTTACATGCTGAGAAAAAAAAAATAAAGTTGCATGGTTAGGTGCTTCCTATTTAGTAAGTCATAAAGGATCAACAACAAAAGTCTGACCTTCAGTTTAAATCCTCTTACCTGAATGTGAAAGAACTTCTTAGTAAAATGAAGATCATCCATTATCACTTGCCAGATTGAACAACTTGCCTTTTAGGAACAAATGAGTTATGAATGGAATGTAGTGGCTTCTAAGTAACCTAAAAGGAAAATGCAGGACAACATCTGCTATATTGGCTTCTGACAACTAAGAGCTTTGGAAAAGCATTTTCACGTTATAATGAATGTAATGATCATGCACATTAGATGCAAAAGTAAAAACACCTCAATATAAACCAAAAGTATTAACTTTGTCCTTCTGATGGATGTTCTGCATTGTGTGCTCTATTTCTATTAAAAGGCAATTTCTTATTCATACCTTAAAATACATAGGATGTGCAACAAATCCAGGTTAACCTTCTTGCCTAGTCTAGAAAACCCTGCCAACAAACACTGAAAGACAATATGCATTTTGTACCCATGCAGGTCCTCAGAAGGGGACTATGGCATTCTTTCCCTGCTGTGACAGGCACAACATTTAAAAATCATCTAACGTTCTTCCCACAAGGGATTTATTAAGGAAATAAAATCTCATGCAGTTGTAGATTTTTTTTGAAATCATTCTGACAGTTAACATGAAGTCACCACATCAAGGTATCAGAGGGCAGTGACTGGAAAACAGGCCAAAACCCAAAATGTTAGGTCAGCAAACAAAATTCACCCTTTAATTCAGTCCATTACTGACTGAAGCTTCGTAACCTGGTAGACAGTTGACTGAAAACCCAGATCCCAGTGAAGGGCAACTGCAGATGTGCAAACTTTGCGGAAGGGCCGGGACTGTGCACACACACAGCCTTCCCAGGAGATGTCGCCTTTATCATTTCAGGTGTTATTTGTAACCTCTACGAACCACAAAGAGCTTATTAACATCTCTAATTAACACCGATATCCATCAAGAAGCGCGCTGTGAGGCGCGGCCTCAGCGGTATCGCTCCTCTCCTACAACAGCAACGAGAAGCAATCGGTTCTTCAACCAACACCATGGAGCCGCCAAGAGCACGCTGCGGCATGATGCTCTGTACCAAGCCTCGCGCCTCTCCGGTGGGCACCGTGGCACTATCCCTGCTGGCTCCAAGGAGAGCATAGACAGCCCTGGGGAGCGCAACCACGGGCCCTGCACCGCAACCCAGCTTCGCCTGGGCCAGCGGATCTCTCTGGGCTAGCGGAGCGCCGCATCACCTGCATAGCCAGGCTAAGCCCCAGCACCAGCACCAGCTGCAAGGCCCTGGGAAGCTCAGCTGCCCTCCTCCGTACCGCAGAAGGCCCGCTTTCCCGACAAGCAGTACAAGCAACGCCACATGCCGTGATCCGAACTACCATTGGTCAGGCAGCTAGTGATTTATCGGAGTCTGACCAATGGCAGCCCCGACAGCAGCCAAGGCCCCAGCCATACGACCCTCAATTGGTTTTTCTTTCAGCCAATCAGCCAGCTGTTGGGATTCGCCTCCGCCGCTGCCTCTCCCTTTGCGCTCAGCGGCCATCTCCCCACCCGCGCCGCGCTTTGTTTGGCTTGCGGGAGGGCCCCGGCCCCGCCTCCCGAATCGCTCCCGCTTGCTGCCAACCAATGGGGCGCCTTGTTTGGGGTGCGGGGTGGAGAGCGCCGGCGCGCTCAGCTGGGCTCGCGGGCTGCGTCCTGTCCCGCCCCGCGGCCTGGTGCAGGGTGACGGGGAAGCGGAGTCGCCGCAGCCTGAGTGCGGCGCGATCCTGGAGCTCACTGCGGCCCAGTCCCGGGCGCCAGAGAGCAGCGGGTGTGGGGGGCAGGGTTTTCAGGCCGAGGGGGGAGCCGGCGGTGCCAGGACTGCGGCTTCGGAGGAGCGTGGGGAAGAGAGATCGCCTCCGCGGCCGGGAGCGGGGCTGCCGCTGCCAGCAAAGCTGGGAGGGTCTCTGGGGCCCGCGGTGGCTGCAGGTCGTGCTGGCCCCCTCCCGCGCTGGCGGGTCTGGGGCGCAGCCTGGGGGTGCTTGGGGCTGCGGGTGCCCGAAGACCTGAGCCAGCCGCCGGCGTGGGAGCTGGAGCGCGGAGGCTGCACGGCGGCGTTGATGCGGCAGGTGAGGCCCGGAGTGAGGGACGGGGCCTCCTGTGGGGTGGAGCGGGTTGGGAACGATGCGGAAACGGCGCCCTGGGCCCCGTGGGGTCTGCCGTGTCCCGGGGGCACTGGCCTGGCCAGGCCTGGCTCTCCTGTCTAGGCCATTAATCAACCGGGAGCGGCGGCCCCGGGGCCTGCGGGGAAAGCGTCCTGCCTGAGGGGAGCTGAGCGCCGTAGGGTACGGCGGCCGAGTAGAGGTCTAGGGGACCAAAGCTAAACTTAAAATCAAGAAGATTTAAGCCTTATTTAAGTGAAGGTTTTGAGCATAGACTGTCAAAGTGGGAAGATTTTTGTCCTCAGTGTAACTGAAATCACTGCAAGGTTTTTTGTGGTGTGGAGAACAAGTTTGTGTCTGTAATTAGGGACTTGTCATCTCGATAGTTAAGTGAGTGTTAATACAAGTTTAGAGCCATAGTTCAAATCGGTCTACTGAGTGTTTGCAAATAATGGAGCATTGCCCATTCCAGTTCTGAATCGATTTAGTTGAAAATCATTAGAGGGAAAAGCAATATTTTAATGGTAGAAATACAACCCATAAACCGAGATTTCACCAATTTTCACACCGTGCAAAGCTGATGCATCTTGCTTATTCAAAACAATGCTGTTTTTGTGTCAGGCTCATCCATAGCAATCCCAGCCTTTGTGATACTCAGCATTTCCTTCTTTTGTTCGTTTTTACCTTTTTCCCCCTCTGTTAAAGATGGGCTGTGGCTCTTGCTCTGGTGACAAGGCAGCTGCTCCTTGCTGATTTGCTGTGAGTGGTTTCCTTCTTGGACATTGACTTCTTGCAGATACGGTGTAATATTTTCACTCTTTTAAGTGTAAAAAGCCCAACAACCAGTTGTTGGGTTTTAGCACCTAATATAATTTAGTGTGTGTGTCTGGTGTTTTGTTCCAAGCATTCAAAAAACCCCAAACTGTGGAACTGAGGGGATGTATGAAGTGAAGCACAGGGTGAGTGGTCAAGTTCCGATGGTGGATGTGATTCAGGTGATGCCTCTCTGCTGGTCCAGCAGTGGTCCTCCAGCACATGATGGTTTAAAACAACTTTTCTGCTTGGCTCCATCGAGGTGAGGGAGAAGAAGCCGCAGCAGATGCCTGCGGAGTTTGTCGCCCCTGAAATTAAAGAAAATAAATGGGGTTCGCGTCAATAACATGACGAGCCCTCGAGCCCGAGCCTCCGGGGATGCCGCCTCGAGGACGCGGGGACAGGCGCCCGGGCCGCGGCGCGGTGCTGTCGGCCGAGGAGGTGGCAGGGCGCGGGGCAGCCCCTCGGGGAGAGGCGGAGAGGTGCTGGGGGGGGGGGGGCGGCTGGAGCTTTTAGCTAGCCTCCTCCAGTCCCAGCCCCAGAGACAGCCACACACGCACGGAGGAGGAGAAGCCGCAGCGCCTCGGAACATGACCCCCCCCCCCCGCGGCGGGCCGGATCGGCTCGGCTCCATGGTGAGGAGGAAGAAGAACCCCCCGGAGCCCGAGGAGCCGCGGAAGGGGTAGGATGGGGGGCTAGGCGCCGGCTCGGCCACGTTGTCCCGCTCCGCTCTGCCGGTCTCGGCGGCTGCTTTCGCCTTTCCTCTTGGCGGCTGTCGAGCGCTTCCCCACGCCCGAGTTTGGCCGGGCGATTTTTCCGCCAAAGGCGCCCAGAAGCCCTTCGGGAGGGTGGCTGAGGGCTGCCGGGGGAGCCCGGCTGTCTTTTGGGGCGGTTTGGGGGGGGTTCCGGCGGGGCATTCCCCCTCCCGCCCTCGGCACAGGTTGTTGGGTCGGGACAGCAAACGAAAGGGGATTTAGTAACAAACAACGGCGGCCATGTTGAGAGGAATTTCTGCAGCTAAACTTCTCCCCTCGCAGACCAGGGATTTCTCCCCTTCTCTGGGTTGCTCCCTGTCCTCACTCTGTGTCCCCCTCTGTTCTCTCTCTCCTCCCCAACAGGATGACAGTGAAACTGGGAGAGAGCGGCAGGGAGGAAGGGGTGAAAAAGCTGGGCAAGAGAGTAGGAGGAGATGAGGAGTCCCTGGAAGAAGAAGGGGCAGGAGGAGGAGAGGCAGCTCCAGGCAGCAGCAGCACAAAGAAAGAAGATAAGATTATTAACAACAGCACTCACAGCAGCCCCGCACCGAGCCCCAGCTTGTCACAGGCCCCGACCTCCCTTCAGCCCGCTCACAGTCAGGACCAGCATCATTTTCTTAGGTCCAGCGTCAGACCTCAGAGCAAGAGGCTGAAGAAGGATTCCCAGGCATCCTCCTCAGTTGGCAGCAGTGCTGCTGCAAAAAGCAAAGGTACAGTGTATTGGCACCCTTAAAGCACACAGGGAAGGGGTTGAGGGGCGGTCACCTATGGGCTTGGGGGGTTGTCATTCTCCTCCATCTTTTGTCTGGTTTGGTGGAAGGTGTTTTGGGGCTTGTTTCTCGCACTAGCTGAAGTCTTCTTTGTGTCCCAAGGCTTCAGCTTTTCTGCTGCCCACTATCCTCTTTGCACTTCCAGAAACAGCAGGGGGGTTGAATGTGTTTGTGAAGCAGGAAAAAAAAAAAATCTATATTATTGAAGCAGACCATTAATTCCTGCATTTCACCTCTTGAGTTTTAGGAAATTGCTGTATTTTGGTTAGGAAATTAGACTGTAGCTAGCTGTGTCATCAGGTGGCTGCGCTCCGAATTCTGTTCTAGGATAACAACAAAATATTGGGTACTAGTTAAAAAAGGGGAAAAAGCCCAACCCCCAAGACGTTGTTGATTTTCTCCAATTATTTCTTTTTATGACGGTTTTACTAAAGAATTATATTGGAAGCAGCTAGGAAATACACATATTGACATGTTTGTTTATAAGGTTTTGTGAGTTCTGCATTACTGTTTTAGAACAGTTTGGGCATTTCCATGGAATTTGAAATTTTATTAAGGTTATTTTGCACACATCTGAATGTCATGTACATACATACACGCATGCTTTGTCACTTTAGCATTGCAGATAAGAATTTGTGGGTTTTTCAACTCTTGTTTCTAGCTCAAAACCAGAAGGATGTTTGAATGTCTTGGTGCTATTGTGTGTGCTCAGCAGTTACTGGATGACATCTGGCACTGTATTGAGCTATGCCTGAGACTGATTTTTTGGATACCTCCTGCAAACATACTTGGGTGTTATTGTCTGATAAGTTTTAAGGAAAACAACTCCTTGAGATTTCTTCAACATTTGAAATAACATTTACTCTTGTCTGCTAAAATGGAATCTCCATGTGCCTTGGAAATTTTCTTGCTCCTTGGTCCATTGCAGTGGCCTGCACATGAGGTCAACCTAGTGGATTGTGATGGTTTTAAAGCAGTCCCAGTTGTGGTATTTTAGTTATTGCCATATCAACACAAAATTATTGAACTTGGTTCCTTGATGGTTAGTGTATGTAATTGACTAAAGTATTTTTTTTTTTTTTTTTTAGTATTTTAGTAAGTCCTCTTTAATCTCTTAAACTTTTTGTTTTAAGTAAGGAACTCCTGTGTGTAATGTTAGAGGGCAGAACTGAAAGGTGTACTTAGTTTTTCTCCTGGTTGCATTAAACCAAATAAGCAGATGGCATGCCCAGGAGCACTTAACTACAGATCATTATTTCAAGGGTTGCAAGTAGAATTAAATTCGAGGAGGTCTTTCTTTGGGGTACATGTTGTCTGTGATTGACAAGTTGAATATATGCATTTGAAATTATTCCATTGCTCTGGAAGTGTACACGTGTGTGAAGAAAACACATTATCTTTGTGCATGTGTATATTCATGTCTGTATATTTGTACATAAACATTCAGTGTCAGTTTTTAGAGCATCTTAGTTTTAGAGCAGGTCCAGTTTTCGAACAATTAACTAGGTGTATTGACACAATTGTAAGGCAAACTTTGTTTATTTTGCAATTCAGATTCCAAAATAATCCTATTAAAATTATATACAGAACAGAAAATGTTATTTCAGTAACTGGTCACAGATCATGTTTGTAATCACTGTACTTGACTGTGGTGTCAGGTTTGGAGAAGCTTCTTAAATCCCCAGAAGTGACAGCCAGTGATAGAACTATGGTTGTGATTTCACTTTTTGAGTTGTAAGACCAGCTACAGCTCTGCCTGGCTAGTTTTGGTGTGAATGCACTAAGGTTGACTTCTCTGATACTGTTGAGATTCTGTCAGATCTTGGAGAACAGGGCCACAGAGTGGAATCCATTCTAATCTGAGTTCTTTATATTCAGGGATGCATACTGAGAGGTTTTCCAGGCTTGTCTGAATTCCCCCTAATGAAATGTCTTGTGATCAGAATTGATAGGGCTGAATAAAATGCCTCACAGAGTTAGCTTCCATAGGGAGCTAACAGAAGGGCGAAGATTTCTCATAAATATTGGACTTAAGTCCTTCCATCAACTTTCTCCTCCCCTTGTAAGTACCAAAATAGTAAAAAGTTCAAATGCCTATGCTTTCGATCAGCTCTGAAAACTGGCAGCTTTTCCATTTTGCATGTCACAGTCAAGGTGATGGCTGCAAAGGTCATTTTTGACATTGGCCAGTCAGAGTGGCTAGACCACACTTCTCCTTGGTCCAGTGATACCAGAGACTTGGTTTTACCATAGTCTGTCAGTATTGCTATTGTAACCCTTAAAATTTTATTAACCCCTAAAATTTTATTTAAGTGGTCCTGGCTTTAGAGTCTGTGTATTCTAAAATGAAAACTCTGTCAAAGGCTATTCCTAAGGAGTGTAATTAAAAAAAACTTAATTTCTTTCGAACTGTAGTTACTCAGTAGACATTGGCTTGTTGTAGACATGTCTTTAAAAGCTATTTAAAAATGCTGTTATTTTCTGTCTGTTACGGATCCCTTTTTTCTTTTGGCATTTGTCCTTTCAGGGTGCTTCATTGTAGTAAAGTATTGATGAAGTAAACCTCACTGTAAAGGGCAGGAAGAGTTTGCCTGCTCAGAGGCAATTTTAGTATGGTTCAGGGAAGACTGTTGATAGCAGTTCTCTAGTTCTGCCTAGTAGAATGTACAAATGTACTGCTAATTTTCAGATTACGCTGACATAATTTTTTAATCGAGTGTTTGGATTTTCTCTTGCTATTTGTCTACTGAGTTGCACTTTCAAGTTAAAGGCAAGAATGCCATAGAAAGTAGCATTGTAAAATAAGCTTTGAAAACTATTTTACTTCAAACAGCCATTTAGTTTTGAATTGCTGAAAGTTTTATCAAATTTCCTGCACAAATGTGTAAATCTGTGCATTATTTTTAGAATGGTTATTACCTTATTTTAAAATGTTGGTCATCTTTTTATTGTATTTTCAAGTTTGTAGCTTCCACCCCAACTAATGCACACCTTTTCAAGTATGAATGCCTGGAAGTAAGTCTTAAAGTGACTTGCATGAAATCAGAGTAACTTGAAGGAATAGTGAGTGAAGACAGCTTATTATGAGAGTTCAAAAGCAGGGAGGTTCATTGAGGGAGAGGAAGCAAACCAGTCTAAAGATGAAGAAGAGGGATTTTTGAGAACTTCTCAAATACAAATACACCCCAGAGCTGTGGAGCCCAGGGTTTGAGGTGTGTTCTGGGGCTTTTTCCATTAATCAGGTGGTTGGACTATGCATGTGTATGTTTTGCCCACCTTGGTAAAAGCAAATATGGGATACATTACCATCATATGCCATAGATTTAGTTTGAACTAGAGTGTTCCCATTTCCACGTTTTTATCCATTTTCTTAATGCAGGGTGAAGTCAGGAGGAAATAGTAACAAAATCTAATGGTGGTGAGCTGAAGCTTGAAGATGTCTTTCATGTCGTTGCTCTGGATTTATTCATAAAACGTGCAGAACGGCCTAAACAAGTATTTGGATCTGTTTTGCAGTAATAAGCAGCTCTTTCTTGAAAAAAAGAGTTATTCAGCTGAAAGAATTAATTGAATTAAAACATTCTCTCTTCTGGCATTGCAGAAAACTTGCCAGACACCAGTCCAGTTTGTTTCAGTGCACTGAAGTTGCATGTCGTGTACCATGTGAATTAAATCGGGTACTGTCCTCCCCTGTGGAAAGAATGCATATACCATGGTACCTAATAGATATACTTACAATACAATTTTTCTGTGTCTTGCCAGATTTGTATGCTGCAGAACATTTTGCAACCTTCATTTGAAATGCCATTCCTCCAGCATTATTTCTCTAGGGCAAGAATGTCCAAAAACTACTGGCATGGTCCCCTGTTCTAATATTCTCCTTCATTCTGTCTGTCTCATTTACAGTAGGTACTTGTCCTTCCATCCCATCCTGGCACGTTTTTCTTTCATTCTTTGTCTTCCCATGTACCCCAGTTTTCCTTCCCTCCCTTTGAAAGTGGCTCAGGACCAAAATTCCGCAGTATCTCATCCCAGACCACAAGAGGAGAATTCTTCCGTGTGCCCTGTGCAGTAGCTACTGAGCTTCAAAAGGTGGCTGCCCACAGGGTTGGTTTAGGTGGAACCTCGTATGAGGCTTTATGGGTGTTTTTTAATGGAAGCATGAGAGAATAATGATTTACTGGAGATGCAGGAATAACCAAATTTATAATAAACCATGTTTATTTTTTACAGCTCTGCATGGTTAGCTCAGGTAGTGCTGTGTTTGGTATATCATATATTAAATATATACTGCCTGTAGAAAAGCAAGTCTTGGGTTGAGTTTTGTTGTAGACTCCAGTTAAGAACTGGTGGTGTGTTTGTTTAAACATACTCAACAACATCTTGGTTGTGCAAGTCTTCTAAATAAGAGAAGGAAAAAGCTGGGGTGTCTGTATCCTTGTATGACAGTTACCTGTTGCGTTTAAAACATGACAGGATGTTGATTCATAACAAGAGCACTATCTGGTATAACCATGCCATATGGTATAAGCTGTCCTGGACTTACCCTTCTTAGGTGAACTATTTACTGAGGTGGCCCATGAGGTAGAAACTTTTTTTCCAGTTACGATATTGGTACTCAGAGTGAAGTGTGGACTTGCAGGGGATGTATCTGTGTGTCTCCTTCTCTCATCTGTTATTCTCTCATGCTATTCTCAGCTACATTTCTTGGCGACAAAAGTAAATTGTATCCAGCCTGCAGCTTTGTTGGGTTGTGCTTACACAGAGCAAGTGGCTTCTCTTAAATTCCTAATGCACACAGTTTCTGTGGGATCACCTAATTCATGTCTTCACTGAAGCAGATGATATAGTATCTGCCATTAGAAAGATACGTGGCTAGAAATGGGGCTTGTTTACCAGGCAGTCAGAAAGAAAGTTTAGACGTTTATCTTTGATTGCTTTTTCATTACAGTTGAGTAAATGCTTGTGAAGCTTTCTGGAAAGTACAGATGATGGAAGCTTACCCAGCTCTGTTGGCAACAGATGCTTTGATGTACATTTCATGAGACTGCTGAGCAGTAATGCAGATTTGTAGAAATAAAAAGGTTGTTGAAGGTGCTTTCTGTTAGGGCCTTCTAAAT